TATTGCCTCATCTTAAGGACAAAAAGACAGCTATAAAAACAAATGAGGTAATTAAAGAAGGAAAACTTTGGGAAGCATCAGAATAATTTACCAGTCATTACTACTAATTTGCAGTCAAGTTCTGTTTTCAGAAATTATATTTAAAGGAGGAACAGGGGCTAAGGGAAAAAATATCTACAATGAGCTAGAGAGTGTGCTGAACTTCTGAAAGCTGTTTCTAGTTTGCAACCAAGTGTGGATTTGGAATAATTGCCTTGTCTAGTAGGGTATATGCACAAAAGTAGACACCATTTTGAGAATGAACAAACTGATGCAAATGGGCAGGGTCAGATTCCCTGACAAGCAAATTCCCATAATTTCCAGCTGCCAGGTCACCTTTCTAGGAGCAAGCTATAGCTGCCCTTCATTTTTCTGAGAAATGTACCAAAAGTATTTGATGTTCCATTGATTGCTGGGCAAATAGCCAGTTGCTCTCTAGGGTGATCCAAACCTGTGTGTAGGGAAGGATAGTAACCTTTCAAACCAGATGATTCCAAGAATGCCTTAGCCAATTATTTGGTTTGACTCAACTTGCTTTGTTATGGAGTTGAAATATTCCCAGCCAAAATAGTTAATTCATGAGTAATTAATACAATAAAATGACCCAACAAAGTCAAGAAAAATTTGTTAAGAAACTATTACGTGCCAGACACAGTACTAAGCATGCAAATACGAAGAAAGGCAAAAAATAGTCCTTGCTGTCGAGGAGCTCACAGTCTAACGGAAAGCATATTCCAACAGCATATAAACAACTATATACAAATAAGATATAGACAGAATAAATTGGAGCTAATCTCAAAGAGAAGGAGCTAAGACTAAGGAGGACTGGGAAAGGCTTCTTGTAGAAGGCAGGACTTCACCTGAGCCTTGAAGGAAGCCAGGAGGTGGAAATGAGAAGGGGAAAATTCCAAGCATGGGGAACAGCCAGTGAAAATGCCTGGAATTAGAAAATGGAGTGTCTTGTGTAAAGAACAGCAAGGAGGCCAGTGTCACTGAACCTCAGAATATATGGAGGCAGAATGGGAAGAGTGTGTAAGAACAGTGGAAAAGGAGAAAGGGGCCAAGTGATAAATAGGAATTGATATTTGCTCCCAGAGGTGATATGTGTGTATATGTGTATATATGTATGCATGTATATATACACATACATACACATATATGTATATATACGTGTGTGTATTGCATGTGTGTGTATATGTGTGTCCACATAGTTGTAACCTGTGTTTTTTATTTGTAATCATATGTATTATTTTATGCATTTAAAAACATTATTCTGAAAAGGGTTCAGCAGGCTGCCAAAGAGGTCCACAACACAAAAATAATTAAGAACTCCTGCTCCAGAGTTTAAAGCCTTTTAGTAGCAGGATAAGACATTAATACAGATATCAAAACCACACAATATTACAAGAAAAGTGGACTAGAGAGGTACAAAGCAAAATTCCCAAGAATTCCTGCGTTTCTATACTGCTGTTCTTCTTCCTATGTTATAGCTACTATCTATGGCATCTAGATCAGTGACCATATATAGGCAGCTTTCCATTGTGTATGGATAAGTTAACCTCTTTCAAATGACCGTGGATCTCATTGAAGAGGAGTAGTAGTTTTCTGGGCTTCATAATGTACTCAAACTTGAGCATCTAGAAACCCTTTGTACTGCTAGAGAATCAGTCAATCAGTCAATTTAGTAAGTATTTATTAAATGCTTACTGTGTGCATAACCGCAATATTGTAATGATGATCAAGACAACTCTGAAGGCCTCCTGATGAAAAAAAATATCCACCTTGAAAGAGAAAAATGGATGGACTCTGACTGCAGATTGAAGCTGGGAAAGCCTTTCCCTTCACTTGTTTTCATCCAAGATAACCTTGATGTCTGTGTATTGACCATCCTCATAAAGATATTATATATATAAGAAAACACGTATTGGTTTGGAAATTGCCAATGTTTTCTTGGTTGCCTTCTGGGGGTGACAATCTTTTTTTGCCCTTTTTGAATTTTCTCCTTTTAGATATCTCCAGAAATCAATCTTTATTGCCTTTCAATTCATATTTTTTTCTATTTAGTCAGATCTGCAGCTCTTTCTTGCTTTGGATCCTTAAGGATCCCTACCACTAGCTCATAGGACACAAGATACTAAGATGGTAGAGCCCAAATATGATGGTTCATGTTGATAAAAATAGACTGCTATGAGACTACCCATAGATGTGTTCCATTTGACATCTGGGTTTTTTTTTTCCTCCAAGTTTCATCTGTGAATGCCTTTAGGATGACCTAGTTTGACTGGATCTCATGCCAAACTCTCTATAGGCCCATTATCTTCTCAACTGCTCTTCACTATTTAGTGAGACGATACTTCTCTGCCTTTCATCCTCCTCTACCTCCTCCATGTTTTTCAAGTCATTTTGTACTACAACCCTGAAGTGTTATTTCTTTCACTATTCTTGTGGTGCTTTGCATCACCTCAGAATTGAGGTGATTGAGTCAATATCATCTCATTAAGTTCCAGGTTTTTCATAGTCAATGGTTTGTTCACACAGGTAGGGTTGAAATTGTTATAGCCACAAATATGTCATCTTTAATCTTCTAAATTAGTATTGGTTTTGCTTTATCCAATCAATTATCTGTACACAGTCAGAAGTGACCAGGTATTTCCTGCTTGTTCAGATGTGCATAATCATTCAAATAATTAATAGCTATTATTTTCTATTTGCATTAGCAATGGTGAGAGAAAAGTGGACAGCATGCATATTCCATTAGTATCCATGTTATTACAAAAGAAAATAAGAAGGGTCTCCCAGCACATTGGTGTACTCCTCTGTGGTAAATTTACAGAATAACATGGACAGGAATCACACAAGACAAGTAGACATTAGTGGTTTGTATTCTGTATTGTTGGACAGAGCATCCACATCAATGATATCATAAATCTGGGGTATTGGAGTCAATTTAATGTTTTACAATGTCATTGGTGTTTACCCAACCAGTATCTTTATTGTCTTCATGGAAAAAATATTATATACGAACATGAAACAGCATTAGCTTACTCAAAATGAAAACCCGAAAAGACCTTAACTTAAAAGGGCCAGGGCCTCCCATTGCATCCTGGGCCATCCATCTCCAGTCATCCTGAGGAATATCTGGCCACTGGACCCAGATGGCTGTGGAAGAGAAAGTGAGGCTGGTGACCTTGCACAGCCCTCCCTCACTCAAATCAAAGTCAATTGCAAGTCATGTCATCATCTCCCTGATGTCATGGTCCTCTTCGGGAACGGACAAACATAACCTTTTTAATTCTTTGATCTTGAGCTAGATTTTCCAAAAACATTTTTGGTCTTCCTCCCTTGTGTCTGCCTCCTCACGTAAGTTATGGAGTATGAGTATATGAGGAGCTAATTTTTTTAGATTCGTTATAAAATTTATTTTAACTGTGGGCCACATGCCAGAGATTTTTCTAAAATACACAAACCTTTAAGACCTTAAATTAATCTTATCAACATGTATTTTCTTAAAATATAGAATTGGCTCAAAATGGTTTATAGAAACAAGAAGTATGTCTGAAGTGTGAAATGACAAATGTCTTTGGGCCCAACAGTTTGTGCAACACTCCCTCTAGTGTTTACTTTTAAGCCCCGAAAGATTTTTAGTACATAAACCAACAGTAAGCCTTCTATCTAACAGCGAAACATTTCATTAATGAGATTAAGGACCTTGTCATCAGATAAAGAGAACAAAGCTAAATCCTTGACACAGATGAAAATTAGATCAGAGCAAAGTGAGGTTCTTTCCTGCCACTGAGAAGCAACTTTACAAGGGAAAAATTTCAAAATTACTGGTAAATATAAGATATAATGATATGATACAAATATAAGATATAATACATATATATATTTAAAGTTTACTTTAGTAGCTACTCCTAATTTATTGTGAAATTCATTGAGTATGTATTCTTAATGGAAAAATAAGTTCTGTATTTTACATATGTACATATATTACACATAATAATTTGCATGAATTGTAACCTGATTAAATATTGTTTAAGTGTACTATTAAAAAAACATTCAAGACCTTATAACTTGAGTTTATTCTCTCAAATGTAGCTTCAAAGGCTTTATAGAGGGGCTTATGATATTCCACTTTCCCCCTTAGGATTCTACCTGTAAAGTATTACCTCAAATTCCATAGAGAAGGAAGATTAAACTTCAGTGGATCTACTTATTAATCGTTATGTATAAATGTGTATATGTATGTATATATTATTAAGCAAGGAACATTGATTCATCTGCATTCATCAGGGTGAGAAAGGAAAGCACATGAGTTTGTAAAATTCTAAGAACCATTTCTTTCCACACGTAATGCAAAGGAGTCATAGAAACTATAGAGAACAGACATTAGGGAAAAGCTTTGAGGTAGTTTAAGTTTTGTTGGCCCTACTACATATGGTATTATCAATCCTTTCGGTGTTTTTATTGTTGTTTTTAAACAGGGAAAATTATAAATAGCTCTTTCTGCTTTCACAACAATAAGTAAATTAGAGAAATTTCTGTACAAAACCAATTTGAAAAATTAGTATTTTGGAAAACATTTTTATGGCTACATTTCTACTTTTCTTAGAGATCTTTACATTTAATAAAGTTAGTTTAAAAATAAGGTTTTGAATCTGTGAGGTTATGAAGTCTTACGTTGGCTGGTGATTCTTGGGATAGTGTTCTTCTATAGGCATCAGCATGAATGCAAACACAATAATCTTTGCCTTTTTATATCAAGTTTAGTCTTTTCAATAGCCCCAAATAGAAGCATTAAAATAAATATATGTGGTCTCAGCTCATAAAGTGAAAGTAGTCAATTTTCAACAGAAACATGTTTTGGAGTAACACGTTTCCGTTTGATACTGCATTGAAAGTAACAACCTAACAGCTAGCACTTAATTTAGGTTTATTTTTCTTTTTCAGCAATGGGGAACATGAAGCCTTCAATTCTGATGTTTACTGTGCATCTGTTATGGTTGAAAGGCTGTCAGTGTGCACCTACTTGGAAAGACACAACTGATCTCCGTGAAAACCTAAAGAGTAGGTTTGCTTTCTTTATCTCTCTTGTCCTGATTCTATGCACCACTGGCATTTACTACGGCTCACAGTTAAGAGATAACAGCTTTCATTACAGCCCTTCAGTTTCATGGTGTTGTAAAACTTTCTCTAGGGCTGATTGATATTAAACATAGAGGCTGCAGAGACATGATGCCAAACATCTGGACAGAAATGGAAAAATTTGGCCAATTATCTGCATACTTCTCCATAGCCAGCTGGTTGGTATTGTAGAGATAAAACTGACTATTTTTTGACAGGATTTCCAGTATCATCCAGGTGTTTGGTGTCACATAGATAATGAACAATGAAATGATATTTCAGTTTTTTAAAAAAAATTAAGCAATGAAGATCATCTTTACAGTTATCCTTATACTGTGGATAATTAAATAACAAATATATTGCATCTAGCTGTTCTATGATCATTAATTGTGTTCTCATTTTAAGAATTAAATGTGGCCTTTCCTTGATAATGGGTATTTCATATATATTGGCAATTAAATTTGCTGAAATAGAACAAGTTAGAAAATGCTTTGAAGGTTTATAATTACTCTTTAAAAATCCAATTTACTCTTGTAAAGAGGAGGGGATACCAAACAATGAATTCTAGCCCTATTAAATCAATTCATCATGAATGAGGAAACAGAGTATTCAAAGAAAAAGATTAAAGAATCTTATTACTGGGGGAAAGATCATGCCAATGAATCAATTATGTTTGTTCAGAATTGTAAATAAAATGGAGAGACTGCGGCTTTGCTTTAGGGTACTAAATTTAAAGGGTGTTTGGGAAACCACTGACACTCTCTACCCCATGGTGGTGTACTACAGTACTACACCCGAGATGAATTTTCTTCTGTCCTTCCCAACCACCCAACTCGGCCCAGGTGCAGAAATTTCCAGGCATAGCTCTTTGTTTGACGCTTCCATGGAGGTTATTTGAACAAAGACTGGGGTTACAGATTATCTTCAATGTCCTGGTTGAATACATTTGGTTTGTGCTTTTTATTTTTTTAAATGGCAAAACTTTGACTCCCAAACGAAATAACACATTGAATAAATAAAAATAGGTCACTGATGCAAGTGACAAGAATGAGGTCCAATTAACTACAGCACACTGAGGCGCTCATAACACATGAACAGAAGGTATTGTCGGGGTGGCAGCTTATTGCTGATTCATTATGAAAGGCTTTCAGAGTCAGATGCTATAAAAGAGCAATTAGGCCTCTATTTAAGGGAATGAAAAATCGGTGAACTGGTTTTGCAATGTAGTTGTGTAATCAAAGCAAAAACCAAAAGCCAAAAACAGATCCTGTGCTTCTCTTAGGCTTGTCTGTGGTTGGAGAGCAATATGTGGATGAAGAGGTGAAGAAAGCTTTGATTGGAATTAAGCAGATGAAAATCGTGATGGAAAGAAATGAAGTAAAACATAAAGAGCTAATGAAAACCCTGAAGAAAAGCAGTAAAGAAAAACAGGTGATTGAAAATGGTCTTGTTTCCTAAACATGCCAAGAAAATAGACTGTGATGGTTAGCCCAATTGAGCAATTGTTTCCTCCAGCATTCATCAACCAACAATCATTTTGGTTGCATCAAGAATCAGCTTCCCAAATAGGCATTTACTGTATTTGCTATGCATCGATGACATCACTATCTGTGCACACCCCACTAGGAGGGAAGGGTTCCAAATGGATTTTTTTTTTCCAAATCCGTTCTTCCTGGGAGAGTGTTCTCTTCTCAATAGCCATGCCATATCTGACCAAAGCAGCAATCTAACAAATTCTCTCTTCTCTGAAACCTTATATTCAGGTTAGGTAGGGGAGGGTTTGCCTGAATTATCACCTCTATGTTTTCTTCTTAATAGGAGAAGACCCTGTCCCTTCCTCCCAAGCATTTCCCCCAAGAAACCAGTTGAACATTTGTCCAAGACGTCCAGATGTGTTCATCTCAAAGATGAATAAATGTCTTAGTAGATCTCCAAAGTGGATGCCAACCCCATACTTTCCTCCCTCACTACAGGTTCCTGAAGATTCCTAGAGGGGATCCATCTCCTCATCCTGACTGTGATAAAATTTGGGTGAATTGTGCAGTAGGGAATCAGGTACTAGAAATGAATTCAGGCAGACCTAATTTTAAAATTCACCTCCAACATTTACTATGTACATGGGGTATGACCATAGGCAAGTCATTCTCCAAACCTCTGTTTCTTCATTTGCAAAATGGGGATAATAATACCTATAGTCGTTAACATCATGGATTTGATGTGTGGTTCAGATGAATTAATTTATATAAAATGTTTTGCAAACATTCAAGTGCTACATAAATACCCACATTTATTCTCTGGTGACCTTCTTAGTCTGTAATCTGTTAATAATGTAACTAATAAATGCCCTGAACCTAAACACTAGAGTTAACCCCATATTGTGACAAATAAAAGGCTAGAGAGAGCTTTGTCTCTATGACTCAGGGGTTCTATGAAATTTTTACTTTAAGTAAAAAAGAAAGAAGAGAGTTTATCAAACTGTAGGTTGACTTTGGTGCCTGGCAATTTTCTAGAACACATTTTTAATGGATTTTGTGTTAGCTTACAGAAAGGGAAGCAATAATCTCTAGGAGTTAGCATGGGTTCATCAAGAACAAGGCATGTCAGACTATTACTCATTTCCTTTTATAATAACTAGCATTTATATAACACATTAAGGTTTTCAAAGTGCTGTACATGTTATCTCATTTGATCCTCACAACAACCCTAGGAGGTAAATGCTATTGTTTTCTCCATTTTACAGATGAGGAAACTGAGGCCAAGAAAGGTTCAGTGACTTGACTAGGGTTACACATCTAATAAGCATCTGAGGCCAGATTTGAATTCAGGAAGATGAAATTTTTATTCCTGACTCCAGGTCTGGTGTTCTATACTGCACTACCTAGCTACCCCAAAATACAGATTTCTAAAGCCAGATTTGAACTCAGACTTTCCTGACTCCAAGTCCAGCGCTCTTACCCACTGTGCCACCTAGCTCTCCCTTTTTTGACTGGTTTACAACATTGTCCAGATCAAAGGAACATCGAGTGACATCATATACCTGCATTTCATCAAGGGACTCGACAAAGTCTCTGGCACCCTGTTTGTAGACGAGATAAAGAGATATGGGCCAGCTGATAGTACAGTAAGGAAGTTTCGGAGCTGGCTACATAAGTCAACAATGGATAATGTCATCCTGGAGAAAGGTCTCTAGTAGAGAGGAACTAAGGAAGGCCTGTCAAACTTAAAGGGAGTCTTTCTGTGTCTAGTAGAACATGTCCTCACGTGAGCTCCATAGCACAGATCTTGAGGAAGAATAAGAACAATTTAAAACTTCACGGAATCAGACTGTCCAATAGATGTTTGAGGCCCTGAGAAATTAAGGGACTTGTCTAAGGTTACTCAGCTAGTGAGTGAAAGAGCTGGGACAGAAACGTAGGCTGTCTGATGCCAAGTCCAATGCTCTTTCCACTGGTCCCTGGAAATGTCCTGGAATCGTCTAAATCTATTTCATTCTCATGTAGCTTTGGGCTTATGAACTTTTATGTTTTCCTGTTATTTGGTATAAGATTTCCCCTCCCTCCTCACCCCAAGCAGGAGGAAAGGGGGGAAATTGATTTCCTGATGATTTGTTTTGTTTCACATAAACGTAGCATATTTCTACACAAGGGGCACTGAGACAGTGAGGTACTGGGGATGATTCTTTGGGCAAAGCTCATTTCCGTTTCCACTTGTTAAACAGGGAGGGAAACAAAATCTAGTCATGGTCTCCAGATATGAAAACTTTTGATCTCCTGGTCATCTCTATTTCTGGGGCCCTCACTACAATTCTGAGGCCAATTTCTCTCAACAAGCCATTTGTTAAATGCATCTCCCCATAACTGAGAGAGTAAGAACCAAGTAGGAAAAACATTTGAAAAGGATGCTGAGGTCTCAGAAGCAGGAAAGGGGCCTTTATTACAATAGCTGCCATGTTTTAGGGGAAGCCCTGATTAAACTTAGACAAACTCTAGAGGATTTTTTCCAACTGCAAGCCCCAAGGACCGTTCTTTACTCATATTAGCAATATTGAACTCCCTCCAAATGAAAATAAAAAATAAAAAAAAAAAACCAAAATGAATAACTTCATAAAAAGAAATACCTAATAAACATAAAAGAAAAAAGAATAATTATCATTAAAATTTTTATACTTAACTAGTCAATCAACTAGCATTTATTAAGTGCCTACTATGTGCCACGCTTTGTACTAAATGTTCTATGTGGAACTATACATTCACATTTTATCTCATTTGATTCTCATAGCAGCCCAGTGAGGTAAGTGCCATTATTATCTTCATTTTACAAACAAGGAAACTGAAGCTGAGAAACATTAAGTGACCTGACCAGAGATAAGTTTGGAGTTGACTAATAAATATCTGAGTCAGGATTTGAACTCAGGCCTATCCTGACTATAAGTCCATCATTCTAACCAATGTTCCACCTAGTTGCCCCAAAGAAGATGATAGAAAACAAAAATTGAGTGACTCTGAAATCATAATGTAAGACAATGGTAAAATATGATTTATAAAAATTTAATTTACTTAGCAGAACACGTTTTATGTTATTAATCAAGGGAGAGGTTGGGATTTATTCTACAAGAGCTTGGGACCCACACTTTTTCATTCCGGGATCCTGCATTTCAGGATTCCGTGCACTATTTCAGAGTTGCAAAATTCTTTATTAATAATAATAATACTTTTTAATCTTTACTTAGGGCTTCTTACTGAGTATTCTAGAGGGCTTTAGCAGTATTAACTGGTGTCTCTTCTAATCATTTTCTATAGCATAAGGAAAAGGTGAGGCGCAGAGAGGGGAGAGAGCCACACAAAGTTAGAAAGAGATCATTCATCCCCTGAGTTACTAGGACAAAATGGAGACCACCAATGAAGCTCAGTTGGTGGATTGCTCCACAGTTTCTGCTTTCCATACTCTGAAAGGGGTGGGAAGATAGAGGGGAGTCCTTGCCGTCACCACCAAAAGGCACCCACTAGAGGGTGCTCTTCCCCTTCCTATATCACGCCTGTGGCCATGTGTCCCCAGCTAGACTCCTGGACAGCCCCAACATCCCTGCCTTTTGATAGACAGTAGTATTTACAGGCATGTGAGTGTTCAGACACCCTTAATGTGGACGGGTCATCTGACCCCAAACATGTTGCTTAATATGTAATAGTTAACAATATATTCAGACATTCAGTGCAACTGAATCTCATGGTTTTATAAACTATAAAAGTTACAATTTACGCATTCACTTTGAGGCAGTCTTCCAGGTAGTACAAGAAATACGAGAGAATCAGAGTCTGAAAGACCTGAGTTCAAATCCTGCCTCAGACACTTACTAGCTGTGTGACTGGGCAAGTTACTTAACTTCTATATGCCTCATTTTTCTCATCCTTAAAATAGATATGATAATGGAACCCACCTTATAGGGTTGTTTGTAGAATTAAAGGAGTCAATATATGCAAAACACTTTGTAAACCTTAAAAAGCTATATAAATGTAAGTTATTGTTTTAGATTTTTAGAGCCCCTAGGTTTTTATTTTTCCTGTAGTAACAGTTAACATTTACATATCACTTTAAGGCTTGCAATGCACTTTACAAATATTATTTAATTTGATCCTCACAATGACCCTGAGAAATAGATGCAATTATTATCCCCAATTTGCAAATGAGGAAACTGAGGTTGAGAGGGATCAAATGACTTGCCCGGAGTCTCACAGCTGATGTCTGAAGCAGGAATTGACCACTGGTCTTCCTAAATTCACTGTGCCCACCTGGTTGCCTTTATATCATCTACAGAGAGAATTGCTTGACCAGCGACTACTTCTGTCCTATCCAAATAGACAACAGGAGCTGCTCTGTCAGCTGCTGAGAGAGTAAAGGAAAACGGGTTGGAAAAATAGCTTAGAAACACTCACTTTAAAAGCAGCAAGTACCAAGGCACTTGACATTGAAATGGCATGTTATTTTCTCCCCCTCAATTAGGAGGCCCTCCAACTTATGAATGAAGTCAAAGAAAGACTGGAGGTGGAGGAAAGGCGATGCCAGGTGTCTTTGACAGGTTTATGGGATGAATGCAAGTCTTGTCTGGAAAGTAGCTGCATGAGATTTTATACAACCTGCCAACCAAGTTGGTCCACTGTGATAAATAAGGTAAGCAGAAAAAAAAAATAGGTCTCAGGATTTCAAGATTCCCAGAACTCAACTAAGTTCCCTTCTGGCTCCAAATTAGTGGGGTGGAGGGATAGGGAGGAGAGGACAAGGGGGAAAGAAAGTTAACAAAAGGGACTATGGAGGGGAAACGGGATGATTTCCACAAAAGAGCAGGTATAAAAAGTGATAGGTGGGCCAGCCACCATGTGACAGTAGAGAAGAGATGGACTGCCCAAGTATTGCTGTGACATCAACACAATATTAAAAAGAACCAGATGGAGCCCCCCAGTATGTTGATTAAATCCCCACTGGAGGATGGATAGAATAACCTCACAGGCAAGAATCACACAGGGTAAGAGTATGTGAATTTCTTATAATTTGTACCAATGGAGACACTGCCAATGCCAGTGAGATCCAGATCCATTGAAATATCTTAAATGGAGGACAGAGCATACTGTCAATTTTTTGTGCTAATGGTTCAATATATTTATACTTAAATAGTTTACAATTCTTCATAATCTATATATGCTATTTATACAATGCTATAACACTATTGTAAGAAAACAGTAATAAGGTTTCATTCATTCCTTCATTTTTTCCTCTTAGAGTGGAGAGTCTCCTTTGCACTCTTACCTCACCCACTCTCACATGTATAAAATTGACTCAGTTCATGGGAATATTATCTAAATACTGGGGTCCCTGGTCAAGAAACACAAACAGAGAGGTTACTTACATACTTTCAGGGAACTGTAGGTTTGTCAGTTTGGGCACTTCCTCCATCGATGCAGATAGCAACCTTTCTACTCTTTACTAAACATTGTTTGTAAGTTGCCATTGCTGGAAGCCTCTGAATTTAGCTAGGTTCTCAGTCGGAAGAATGTGATCTTTTACCAGGCATGTACAAAATCTTTCCAAAACCTGTCACGGCTTGCTTTTTGCTGGCATAGCCTTAAAGTGCCATCACATGAAGCATCAGAGGAAGACCTTAGTGGATCCATATGCACTGGGGCAGTCTCCATACTAGAGATGCCTGTTTCACTGTCCTGAAATTCTTCCCCTTCCTGTAAGACTTTGCAACTCTGACTCATTTAAATCCAATTCATACACGAGTTAAGACATCATCGGTGATATCATTGGTCCTCTTCAAAAAATGAAGGATGAACAACATTGTTGAGACATGAGCTTGATGATTAAGATTGCATGCCAGTATTGGACAATGCTAAGGAAAATCAGAACAGCTTCTTATTTGTCAGTGCCATATCCAATTAAATAGAAAGTAACCCCCAGGATAAATAAGAAGCTAAATTTACTTGGCTCTCCCCTAAACTAGATCTGCTGGGCTTTTGTGATTGCCTCCAATCTTTAATCCATCCATAGTGTGCTGTGTTTTGGGGTCTTGTTTTGGTTTTTTTTTTGGCTAGGCAATGGGGTTAAGTGACTTGCCCAGGGTCACACAGCTAGTAAGCATCAAGTGTCTGAGGCTGGATTTGAACTCAGGTCAGTCCTGACTCCAGGGCCAGTGCTCTATCCACTGTGCCACCTAGCTGCCCCTGTAGTGTTCTGTGAAAAGTAGAGGTCTTACTATTAACTAATCAGCAATGTGATTCAGAGCAAATCGTTTAACCCCTCCACCTCAGTTTCCCTTCTGCAAAATATGTGGGTTGGATGAGATGATTCCTTCAGTTACTTCCAAATCTAACATTCTTTGATTCTATAAAACACTACAAGAGGTTATCAACATAATTAAAGATACTCTGGCCAAGTGTTGGTGCAAACCTAATAGATCATAAGACAAAGTATATGACTTTTCTTTTCATTTTAAATAACTGCTCTCAGCATATAGACAAAAGTACTTTTACATACTAAGTTGTATTTATTGAGCCTGACAAATGGTCAATGGTAATTGTGTTTACTCTTTTCTTCCTAAGACTGATTTTTATTTGTTACTTGTTTTTTTGTTATTCCAGGAACCTTTTTTTCCAATCAAAACTTTTAATAATTGAAATATAATTAAATACCATAAATAAAACAATATTATGTTATAGTAAAGAAATATTATATATGTTTTCCTTATGATAAAATAAATACTATAAATAAAGATGATAAAAGAATTAAAAGGACATAAAACATAACTCCCTTATGACAGGAACTGAAGGAAGATCCCTGCAGATAGTCTGAGCTCCCCAATATTTGACAGCTTACTCTGCCCTGCCCCAAATCTTTTTATAATTCAAACAGCAGCTGTTGAATAAACATATCTATGCCTAGTCTAATGGTGGAGCAACACGGTCATGATCTACTTCTCTGCTAAAAGGACGCTAGCCAGTTGACTCATTTTACCATGGAATTCCTAGAATTCATTCCCTCCACAACTCTGCCTCTTAGAAACTCTAGATTTCTTCAAAGATGAACTCAAGGGCCACCTCGTATTGTGAGGTCTTTCTTGATTATCCCCCCCAGCTGCTAATGCCTGCCTCCAAAATTCTTTGATATCTATCTTACATGTATTCTTATGTTTACTCATATGTGTACATGTTGTTCCCCCAATTCATAAGCTCTTTGAGGACAGGAACTTTGTTTCATTTTGGTCATTCTGTCACTAACACCTAGCACAGTGCCTTTTATGTAGGAGACATTTTTTTAAAATGGTTAAAGGGAAATGAATAATTTGAATTTTGCTTAAATTCCCTATTTTGCTTTGCTGTTAGCAATACCTAACCAAGAATGAAGGTAACCCTGGTTTTCTATTCTTAGACAATTACTGCTTGGAAAACAAAGATTAGGGTGAAATATATCCTTCAGACCAAAGCTGGTTTTCAGCGTGTGAATTACTCTTCTTTGGTGTGGAGGCCTAACTTAAATTTACTTTTATTGCTTGTTCCTTGGCTTCTTCTTACGGTTGTTTTTAAATAAAGTCGCAGGATTTCTCTATAGATAAGGTGGGAGCTGGAATGTGAAGAGGGAGGTGAAGGGTTGTCAGATATAATAGAGAGGTGTTGCAATGCAATGCAAAGGATAGTGGTTGGCCAAGGCAGCCAGTTATAAAACTAATTGTAACCCTGTTAAATAGTCCCAATTCAGCCACTGTTCTGCGTATATGGATATTTACATATGGAAGTAAAATAGGAGAGTATATATATGTTGTCTGCTTTCAGAGGCACCCAGGAAGACTCCTTTGCCTCCCAAAATACCTCCCTTGCTAACTTTTTGATATGTGAAATCCAGCGATTAGAATTTGGCTTAAACTAAACATTGCCTTTGATTTTTGAAAAATGTAAATTCTCTTGGTAGAAGTAACATACTAAGCCCTACAAATTATATACATCTCAGAATGAATATTTTACCTGATCCTTTCCCAAGAGCTCGTTTTTACAGGTTAAGGCAAAGAAGAAAGTATTCAGAAAGGACTGAGGGCTGAGAGCATACAACTAAGAGAAGTTAAAGAAAAGGACTTCAGGCAATCTTAAGCTTATTCATATTTTTTTCCCAAAAATCTTCTTTGGATACTATGCATCTTCTGGTATTCTTAGTATTCCAAATTCCATTCCTTGAATTTTGGTTCCATAGTAATATCATTAAACTTGAGCCAATTTTGCATCACCAAGATTCTCAGGTCAGAACTGTCCTGGAATTTAATTCAACCTAGAACATTTTTGTTGTTGTTGTCATTTAGTCATTTTCAGTTGGGTCTCACTCTTTGTGACACCTTCTGGGGTTTTCTCTGCAAAGATACTGGAGTGGTTTGCCATTTCCTTCTCCAGATCGTTTTACAGGTGAGGAAACTAAGGCAAACAGGGTTAAGTGACTTGCTCAGGGTCACACTGCTAGGAAGTGTCTGAGGCTGGATTTGAATTCAGGTCTTCCGACTTTAGGCCTGGCACTCTATCCACTGTGCCACCTACCTGCTTCAGTAAGCACTTAATAGAACTGAAATGAATGATTAGTACATTATTTAAAATGCACTGATTATTTCTAAGGTACCCAGGAATTCAACCCAGCCATCATCTAAGTGCTTCCTATATGCCTGCAAGTTGGAAATTTTAAATTTGCTAATAGAAAGGGCCTAGATGTAAGGTAAGAACTTGAATCCATTTCTATTCCCCTACAGATTGAAAGCTTTTTCAAGAAAATGCCTCAATTAATTTTTCCTTTTCGTGAGGATGAAGCAGAAGCTCTTCCAGTTACTGAAAAGTCAGACGAGGAGGATGCTCAGCTATCCCAAATAGAGGGCACATTCAGCCAACTGGCCATGGATGTGAACACACTATTCAACAGGAGCACCAATGTCTTCAAACAGATTCGGAAAGAATTTGACCAGGCTTTCCAAACATATTTCATCTCAGACGCAGACTTAACAGAGGCCTACTTCCTTCCAGCTTTATCAGAGACAACTCCCCAAAACACAAGTCTTCTGAAAAGCTGGGACATACCCAATTTCTTTCAGCTGTTTTTTGATTTCAGCAAATCAATTTTGACAGGTATTGGTGAAATGATTACTGAAATGCTAAAAGGAATGAAGAATTTACCAGAACAAGTGAAAGGCAAGTATTATAAAAATGAATTTGATGTCACCATCTTTACCAATATCTAGTCTTGGGTAGAATAGCAAATGTTAGTTTTGAGTAGTTCGTGAGATGATAGGATCATAGATTTAGAGCTTAAATGGTCCTTAGAGGTCATCTAGTCTAACACCCTAATTTTATAGCTGAGGAAACTGAGGCCCAGAGAAATGAAATGATTTACTCAAGGTCACTACAAGGTTACTACAAGGTTACTACAAGGCTGTAAGTGGCAGAGCCAAGATTCAAACCCAGATCCTTTGATTCCGAGCATAGCACTCTTTCTATTACCTCACTGCCTCTTTATTTATTGTTTCTGAAGTGTCAGTCTGTGATTAAGCAATGGTTCCAAGATTTTTACACGGATTTTTCCCCCAGTTTATTCACTTGGGTCCATCTTCTGAATGAAGTGGGCAAATCATAAGTAGCCATTCCTTTATGACAAGACACTTCACCCTGACAGGATGTGAGCTGAAGGCCCGTGCCCCTGCTTATTGACTGATATGTACTTCATGCCATTTGGGGAACAAGGTGTTATGAATGTACTCAGCTGAGAATGAACATGCTGAGAAAAGAACAAACTCACACCTTCTCTACAAGTTAATTCAATCCACTCTAAACCATTCATTTCACAAACTTCCTGATGACTTCCTTGCCATGTCACAAAGTTTGTCTTCCTTACACATCAACCACCAATCAGTTGTTTGAAATGAAATACCAGTCTACCTCCTCGCTTCGGAGAAAATCATCAGTATGGGTAAGAGGTGATGGAAAGAAAGCATTTAGATAGAAGATGGAAGAAAGTGGTATACTCTTCATATTTTTGTTGTTCTTCAGTCATGTCCAACTCTTTATGATGCCATTTGGGGTTTTCTTGGCAAAGATACTGGAGTGATTGTCATTTCCTTTTCCAGCTCATTTTACAGATGAGGAACTGAGGCAGACAAGGTTAAGTGACTTGCCCAGGGTCACACAGCTAGTAAGTGTCTGAGATAGAATTTGAACTCCAGTCTTCCTGATTCCAGGCCAGAGCATTCTATCCACTGTGTCACCTAGCTGCCCCAACTAAGGGGATAGCCCAAAATTAAACTCTGCTATACTTGTTTGTCTTTGGGAAGGTCCCAGAAAGGTATAATTCAGGAAGGCATGTACCCTGCTCTAATCCCAGCACTTTACACTGAATTTTTAAGTGAATGTTACTAATGATGATATCAATATAATAGTCTATACTAACCTGAATTACAATATACCTCCAAAAATAGAGTCCTTTCTCAGCATTGCATCTGATGACTAATTGTGTCCTGATGACTAATTGGTCTTGTGTATCTAGTATCTCATCTTTTCAATCTATCCTCCACACAGCTGATCTGATCATACTAAAATGTCTCCCTGACTTCAGGCTCAGGGCTTTATCCATTGTGCCATGTAGCTGCCTACTCTTTATATTTATATAACCTGTATTTAGTTTCTCGCACCAAAGAACTGCACAGAGCCCCACAGTTCTATTCCTCTGTTTAAAATTATGTCTTTTGTTTTTGCATCTTATTCATCTCAGAATATGTCCCTCTCATCCCCATCTACCACTTGGTGAACCTTTCCTTGTAACAAAGATTGAAAAAGAAAAAAAAGAATTTGTCAAAGATAACCAGTACACCAACCACAATTCCCAACCTTTCTAATTAAGGGAAGGAGGTATATTTCTCCTTCTCTGGGGCCAAGCATAGTAATTATGATCACATAGCATTCAGTTTTTCTTTATTGTTCTTATCATTTTAATCATTGTGGCCATTGTTAATAGTTCTCCTTTTTCTCCATACTTCACTCCCACAATTCTATTCTTTATGACCTTCTCTAGATACTATCTGGGACTCAGTGTCAAGTTCAAGAAATATTCAACTAGATTTATATGCAGGTAGAACTCAATGCCTTACCCTATTTTCTCTGAGTCATAATGCAGGAAGGACAGTGAGCCATAGAAGAAATAGGACTGGATTTGGAGTTTGAATCCATAACTTTTAATCTATCCTCTTTAAATCTATCCTCTATCATTCACTACCAATGTGATGCTGGGAAAAGAGCATCATCTCTTTAGGCCTCAGTTTTCTCATCTTTAAAATGAGAAGCTTGACTTATTGAAATTTGACAACATGTCAATCACTAGGACACTGTCAGTGATCTTTGAAAGGTCATTGAGGATGTGAGAAATGCAGAAGGTCTGGGGAAAAGGAAGTATCTAAATTTTTGAAAAAGGAAAGAACAGAGTCTGAAAGCTATAAGCTTTGATTCCTGGCACAATTCTAAAATGTATTATCAAGGGGATGGTCAGTGAGCATCTGGAAAAAGAAACAGCAATCACAAAGTGCTGGTGTGGGCTAAATCAAGGGCAGTTCATCCTGGACCTTTTTTTTTGACAGGGTTACTAGACTTCCAGATCAGGGGGATGTTATACATGAAGTTTATCACTATTTTAGTAAAGTATTTTACAAAGTCATGTTTTTCTTATGGACAAGATGGAGAGATGTAGGGTAGACAGTACTACATTAAGGCAGATTTGGGACTGATTGAATGGCTCAAACCAAAGAGTAATGATATATCTTCAGTGATATGCACCCCAGATTTGGCAGTCAATCAACAAACATTTACTAATCAATAACTCCATGCTATGATCACAAAGAGGCAGACACAACTAAAACAACTGAACTATTACAACAACTATATGCCAGAGACTGTGCTAAGCATTATGCTGTTTAACATTTTTATCAACAATTTGGATCAAGGCATAAATGGCATGCTTATCAAATTTTCAGATGACAAAAAGCTAAGAAGATAGAGTTAACACATTGAAAGTGTTGTTAATAGAAAGGGCCTAGAATGTAACAGTGAGAATCCAAAAAAGGTTTTAACAGGATGAAACCTAATAAAACAAAATTTAATAGGGACAAAGTCTTGCACTTGGCTTTTAAAACCTCCCAAATGCAGTATAGGAGAGGTATGATTAAATATCAGGTCATGTGAAAAAGATCTGTGGGTTTTATAGTACCCCATACTGAAAATCAAAAGCTAAAATGAGTGAAGGGACAGCCAAAAAAACCTCAATACTTAGGCTGCCTTACGAGAGTTATAGTCAGTCTGCAGGATGAGGGAGGTCATCCTTGCTCTGAGGTGCCTGTGTCTTAAGCACACAGTATTCGGAATGTTATGGTCAGTCCTGGGCACCATATTTCAAGGGAGGAGATTAACAAACTGGAGAAGATCTGAAGAGGGCAGCCAGGATGGTGAATGGACTTGCAAGTATGCTATAGGAGGAACAGTTGAAGAAACTGAGGCTATTTAGTCTGGAGGAGAGATTTAAGGGGAACATGATAGCTGTTTTCAAGTTTTGGAAAAGTGGAATAACTGTCACGTGAAAGATGAATTAGAGTTGTTCTGTTTGGTCCCAGAGGACAAAACTAGAGCCAATATTTGGAATTTACAGGAAGACAGATTTTAGCACAATGCAAAGAAAAACTTCACAAGAATTAGAGCTATCTCCAGGTAGAATGGGCTACCCCAAATTCTCTCACTGGAAATCTTCAAGCAAAAGCTGGATGACTCCTTATCATGTAAATTGTAGAAAGGGTTCTTATTACAGGTACATGTTGGTCTAGAGAGATGGCTTCTGAGGTCTCTTACAGCTAAGCCCATATGACTGAGTGACTGTATGATCTCTAAGCTCCCTTCTCATTCTAAAATGCTATAATGCTATAATTCTTTAAGCCATGAAAGCTCATGCAAAGAATTGTGGGATAAGATTCTTGTAGATGTGGCCCAAATTAAACAGGTCAGAAAAGGAAAAAAAAATTGCTTCCTACAGATAACAGTTATTTCTCCATAATAAAAAAAGAAAATCTTATTTCTTTAAGTCAGGAGATAAGAGTTTATTCTGGGTTTATCTTTCACAGTTCAGCTTGAAAAAAGAGAGAAAAAGATTTTCTCAGAATTTCTTTGTGGTGTTTAGATAGCAAAAATTTTCAGAAACAGGTGTTGCTACATGGTCAACACCTGGAGTAAGCACTTGTGCATTCTTGAACTTGTTTCTTGCTGGGCTCTTTCCCAGAAGAAAGATGAGAGGAATGGATTTTTTGTTGGCTGACAACTAACTGAAATAGTTGCAGCTGGCAAAATAGAAGGCAAGCTCTCGCACCAGCTAGCTAGCTCTGCATGACTGGCATCTCCCTGGGAGTGACTTATTTTATGTAAGAGTTAGAAACTGTGCTGGATTTCTCTCCTGTACCTTTGCGGTATAGGCAGAAATCAGTCAGATAGACAAACTCCATACCTGGAATAATAGTTAGATTCAATGACCAATGTTTTTTTCCTAGTAGGATATGCCTTTAATCTGGCAATCATTTCTGAACATTCTCCAAATGTTCAATAGGAGAGACATGGTCCTAGACGAAAAAATTCACTGCCAGTGCCACTACAGGGTAGGGGAGTTTGGGGGGAGGGGAGAAACTTATTCCAATAATTTTACTGGACATCAAGTTTCTTTGATATGTAGGTGAATTTAAATGTTTCAAATAATACATCATCCTACATAATAATAAGTCATTCTTATAAAATGCTTTACTGTTAGAAAGTGCTTTATGTATATTATATAACGGAGGTGTCTTACTACATATTTACATATTTTGGGATATATAGGTATTAATGAATATAATGCATATAAAATAACAAGACAGGTTGGTATGGTAGATAAATAGACATCCTCAGAGTAAGAAAGAAAGAGAGAGAAAGGGAGGAAGTAAGGAAAGAGGGAGGGAGAGAAGGAGGGTAGGAAGAAGGAAAAGATGAAAGAGACAAAGAAAGGAAAGAAGGGAGAGAGAGAGAAAGAGAGAAAACTAAGGTGTCTCAATGAGAAGTGGCCTGAGCAAAGTCACACAGAGATAGTAGATGTTGATGGGGGTGGGCGGGATTACATCCAGGTGATAGAATGATAGATTTAGGCTAGAAGGGAATTCAGAGATCTTCTAACCCAGCCCCTTTACTTTACAGAAAAGAAAGCTGAGGCCCAGAAAAATGAAATGATTTGCTTAACATCACATGTGTACGTTTCTGGATACAAGCTAGTATTCTTTCCTGGCTTACACCATCATTTCTCCTAGTGCAGGGCAACTTTGTATATTCCAATGCTCTGAAATGAGGAAAAATGTTAATATCTGCCTTCTCAGCTTTCCATGGCTCTCTTCCGATTCACCACATCCATTGAAGACCCTGCCTTTTTCCTTGCCCCAAAAGGACTGAAACATCAATGTTCAGGGTAAAATTCAAGGGAAAAAACTCATATCAGTCTAAGCTCCTCTCAACCTTTTGACATACAAGTGGTCCTAGCCAGGAAATACGTAGATCACTAAGTGGTATCCTCATTCCTCACCATAGATCTTATTCTCCCAAGGGAAGTAAAGTAAGTGTAGAGCTATTTGGAAGGTTGCTGCAAACCAGATGCCAAGAATACTAAGGCTACCTCAGAGAGCAAACAGGCATTTGTATATGGGTGTGGGATTTACTGGCACTTTTCCAATGGGGAAAGGGAGCATGCCATATTGGTCTACTGCCCTTGGGAAACCTACCTAAATATCCTGGTATTATGAGATTTTGCCAGCTTTTATTTGTAATGGCAATCCAACTGTAGTGTCTGATGGCTAATAAAGTTCCCTGGGACAAGGCAAGAAGAGATACTAGGAAAGATTAATAAAGATACCATTTTATTATCAATCAGTCAATAGGTATTTATTAGTCATAAGCCTACCTATGCCGGTACTGTGTTAGGTACTGGGGATAAAAATACAATGAATAAACCAATTCCTATTCATAAAGAGTTTACAGTCTAATGGAGGAGATGGCAAGTACTTCTATAAGTATATACAGCATATGTATAAAAAGAACACAAATAAATACAAAATGGTTCAATGCAAAGTAGTTTGGGAGAGAGGATACTGGTAGTTAGGAGATCAAGAAATGCTTCATAGAAAAGATGGCACTTGAGTTACATCTTGAAGGAAGAAAGGGACTGAGGCAGAGGTGAGGAGAGTGTATTCCAAGCATGGAGGAGAAGGAGGAAGAGGATGATGATGATGATAATTGGGTAATAGTTATTAGAGAGGCAGCCTTGGAACCAAGACAGCTTGAATTAAAGTCTCACCTCTGACACATACTGGCTCTGTGACCCTGGGCAAATAATTTCACCTGTTTGCCTCAGTTTCCCCATTTAGACCTCATTTGTACCCCCCAGGGTTGTTGTGAGCATCAAATTAGGTAATATATGCAAAGCACTTGGCACAGTGTCTGGTACATAGTAGGCATCATATAAATGTTAGCTATTATTATAACTATTGTTATTATTATTTGCAAGTATCGATAGAATGAGTTCCCTCAACTCAAAGTTCCATATGCGAATGATATCATTAGTCTAGTCCTTAACCCTAATATTAGTGTAGGGCATATGTTGCCTATGTGCCTTATGTGTAATGTCCATATGGGTAATCTAAATGCAGATCATGATGAAGTATGGATATATATCTCTGAAATCACCCACCCTCTCCAAGGGAATTTTATTTTTTCCTGGAGGGGAATAGGAGAAGGGACTGCAAAATTGGAGGGGGTACTGAACTAGAATTATATCCATCTGTCCCCCTAAATATTGCTTGTCTAAGGGAATTTTTTTTAGGTTCAAGTCACTGGGCACTGCCCCTTAAAGAGGAAGGGGTAACCCTGGGCTTACACGCATAGGTCTGTAAATGCTAGTTATACAAAAGACCATCACAAATACTGAATTGTGAGCAAATCTTTTATTCAAGCTGATAGCATACAGGAAAGGAGCCAGTTGACTATGGGAGCCAGCTGAGATTTCATTTAACCAAGAAAGAGAAAAGCTTCTTCCTCACCCCCACCCCACATTTCACTTGAGGGGGATTTCCCAGAAGTCTCTAGGGAGGCAAGCTGAGATTTAGAGACATAGTGAGGTTCTGGCTTCTTTCTTTGTCTGCTGCTTCCCAAAGTCTTTTATCTCTCTCCACATGTTTTTCTCCAAAAAGTGTCTGGAACCATGTGTGTCTTTCTTAAAGCTGGAATAAAGAATGTGTCTTTCCTCTCCAACATTCCCCCTACCACCTCCACCTCTCACACAGGCTGTCATCAAGAAACCATTTCCTCCACCCATCAGGAATTATGCCTAAGCAGCAGTATGTAAAACAGTTAAAATAGTTAATAAACACCTTGTGGACATGACTTTGTACTAGTGTAACATGAAAGATTCTAGGAAAATTATGTCCCTGAACTAGAAATGTGCATTCCATTGTATGTCCAAATTTCTAATATACTACTCTAAAATGTTGTAGGACTTGACTTACGTAGTTTATTGTTCACTTTTTAATTTGATCTCTCTTTTGAATGAAAGACAATTGACATAGCTTTAAATTTCTTCCAGAAATACTGCTGTCTCACTCTCTTCTCTTTCACACATATATACACACACATATCAACACATATATATGTAAATATGTGTCCATATGTATGCACATATATACACACATACACCTGCATGTTTATTACATTGTGTACAGAGGTATTGTCTATATTTATGTGTGTTACACGTGTGTGCATATAGTAGTATTATATGCATGCGTATACATGTTATATACATATATGTACGTATATGCTTTATGTCTTTTCTCAGTCTTTGACTTCTACTCATATCCTTTGAATAAAATACCTTTTTTTCTTATTGAGAGTATCAGTTTTAAGAAATCACATTTGTATTCACTAGAACTGAAACCGAAGTGAAATCAATATAGCAATAATTTCTCTTTCTCCAGAGCCCGACAAAGGAGGCATGTTTTCAGAGGTTTTCCCTGGACACAACAGAGTACCATGTAAAGAGCTTAGCCAGAATTTGTCTGGATGTTCTGAATTTCATGAAAGATGCCAAAAATGTCAAGAAAACCTCTTGCAAGGTAAATTAATGTTTTCTTATTTGTTTCAATACACATTGATTTAATAAATAAGTTTCGGAGCTTGGATTTTATTGATGTTGTTACTGTTATTTTTAAAGCATCTTTGGTGTACAAGGCACCAGGCTAGGTGGGAAAGGTATACAGATGAGTAAGAGATAGTCTTTCCCCTCAACAGCCTTCTAATCTCCTAGGGGAGATAAGATATGTACATAAAAGTTTCCTAGTACAAAATACAATATGGTATGTGTCCTTTTTGGAGGTCCAAAGATTTGCTTTACAAGTCCTTTTAATTCACAAATTGTTTTCCTTTCCATATATTTCTGCATTTTGCTATTTGAGGTATGCTTAATCTAGATTTCAAAGCCTGTTACTGTCAGTTATTTTGGTTTGCCTTTCCATTGTCTTGGATTTCTCATAGTTCATGATGAAAGATTAAATACAGGCTAATGTTCCCAACAGAAAAGAACACTAATTATATCTGCTAATTAGAGTAAGTTATTACTACTTACTAAGAAAAAAGAAATAATGCATTAAAAGCACTGTTTAATAATAAATAAAATTAAAATGCAATTGAAAAATAAATAAAGCAACTCTTCCCATTGGATAAATTGTCCAAGTGGAATAAGGCAAGATGGGGATAATGCTGTGATTCTTTTAGTCTGTTGAAATGCTATGTTACTGTGGCCTTCAAGAATTCTTTTAGCTTCTAGGTATACCCACTTATACATTGGAGAAATATAGCTTGGAGGATCATGCGAAATTTTAGTTCATTTAATGTTTATTTAGTCATTTAATTTTAAAGTAATTGCACTGTTGGTTCAGGTGGCTTTGAAGAGAGTTGAGTGGCTCATTGAAGCAATCATTCTTGTGTGGGATGGGGAGGGGCCCACTGCATATGTGTGCTGAGCAGGGATGGGTTTTTCCCTTATTTAATGGTTTGTTCCATGCTGTATGTATCAATGGATTTGGGGGGTAAGGAAGAGGGGAGGTGTATAGAGTCAGCAGTGACCATACTGCCAGTCTACCAGAAGTATAAAAGGACTGAGAAGGGCAGGGACTGTTGCTGAACAGCCTGAAAAGTATGGGAACCTGCCCACCAAAAGTGATGACACTGCAGAGAAGGACTTGGAGCACCCAGTGCCATGGTAGCAACAGAGGGGAAAAGGTAAGTATTCAGAAGATGCTGCTCCTCCACTGAGTCCTCAAAGTCACTGTTATGAAATGCTAAACTGAGTTTTTGGCAGGGAAATCTAGAAACTTGTGGAGAAGAGAGATCTGTCAGCAGGAGGCTATTTTTATTGAGTTTTTTCCCCTTTGTTAGTCCTGTCAGTAATAAACCTGTCTTTCGTTAAATGTTTCGTTGGCTCAAGTGCTTGCAGGGGCGTGTGGTATCAAGAGAGCAGGACTCATAATGTGTAAATTTGGAGTAAGCCAAACTGCATCTAATTATAGACGGCTTTCTGAGATTAGTCACAAAAAGGTAAGAGAGATATAGGACAATAGCTATTGGTGACAGGCAGATCAAGTGAAGAGTTTCAAAATTTTTCAACATGGCAGAAACAGGGATGTATTTGTAGGCAGCAGAGAAGCAGACAGTATACAGGGAAAGACTGAAGATTAGTGAGTAAGTAGGGACAATAAAGGGGTCAATCTCCTGGAAAGGACAGAATGAAGTGGAATGAAAAATACCTGTAGAAGGATTTGCCTTGGCCAAGAGACTAGAAGAATTCATATAAATCTATCCATCTTTCTCTGAATGTTTCATATTTGTTCTATTTTAAAAGGCAGTAACACTCTACTAGTGTATCCCAATTTGTGAAGCTATTTCCCAATCAATGTATACCTGCCTTTTTTCCATTTTTTTGCTACTACAAAAGTACTGCTATGACTATCATGGTGAATATTAGACTTTTCATTCTGTCTTTGACATCTTTGGGGTACGTGCCTGTCTGCTATTAGATCTCTGGGCCAAAGGGAATACAGAAATAAAACTCCTTTGATACATGCTACGTATGTGATAGTGGGAATTCCTTTCATGTATGGTTTGGATTAGGTAGAGACTGCGGTCTTTTCCAAATCTAATGGTTTTTGCTTTTTTTAATTGCGTGTAGCACTTTTCATTCATCTTGGTATTTCTACCAATGCCTAGGACAGTATTCTTGAAGAGTAATTGATGGTTGCTGAGTTGAATTGTTTTGTTTGGGCTATGCCTAAAAATAGATAAAGATTGAAGAAGACAGTTTGATTGAGCATAAGTTCACCTATATTTCAGACAATCAGTGAAAATAAGTCTTCCGAGGTGATAACTATTGGATGGGAGTTGGTATTTCATACAGTAGAGCTCACCCTAGCTATAATAATGTCCATCATAAAAATAAAGAGATTCTTTGAAAGAGAACCTTTGTCCAGTAATATGGAATGGGGAGGCCTCAGACTCCAGGGTGTTCTGCAACAGAATCAACCATAGAAGTCTTTGGGATCCCTGAATGGTCAAGAAAAGGGAGAATTTGACTATCCAGGAATATTTTCCGGTCAAGTTTTTTTCTTCTTCCTCAGACTGCCCTAATGTCCCTGAGCTGCACATGAAGTTTGATGAAGCCTTTAAACTGGTTAACATTTCTGAGCAGCAATATACTCAGATTTTCCAGATGACCCAGCATCACATGGAAGACATGATAGCCATGATGGGGAAGATGAGGGAGAAGTTTGGATGGGTGACTGAACTCTCTCACTGGACCAGAGGATCAGAAAATATCTTCAATATTATAAAGGTGATGCCTCAAACTAAAAAGAGAATTCATTCCCCTCCCAGGAAATGACAAGTTGATTATATGTGTATATTGCCACTGTATTAGCATCCAGTATGGGATATTTAATTTGGTACAATTTGAGGTTTTTCAAAAACATAGAACCTTAAAAAAAATTAAGTGTTTGTGAAAAAAAACCCAACAACAACAAAGTCCTATGGGCTATCATCAAAGAATGTAAACTTCTTGAGGTCAGGGACAGTTTCACTTATGTCTTTGTAACCCCAATACTTAGCAGTGCATGGCATATAAGTAGCCCATTAACACCAAAAGCTCTAGAATTTAAGAAAATCTAGAAGGTTGACACAGTGCTTTTTTTTTTAGCCACAAAGCAAAGAAAGTACAGGTAGTAGAATGTAATTTTTTATTTCAATACTATTTGGATCAATTGGTGGTTCTGGTCAATAATTAATGCTTAATTGAAATATTTATCTTCCATAGCAAAACTGACTTTTAAAATTGTGACATAAAATTGGTAATTCAACTAAGCCTTAAATATGTATAAAACTCTAGTAATCTTTATTGTAAATACATTTTCTCCAGGTAGCTCCAAGAATTGGTGAAGAAAAGTCTGCTAATTCAAATGACACTCTGCTTGAAGTGAGCATCCTAACTTCACCTACTTTCACCATCAAAGTCCCCCAGGATGTCAGCATGGAGAACTCTGACTTCATTGAGCATGTGGTTGGGAAAGCTTTGCAGTATTACAAGCAACATTTTTGAGCCTTGTAAGCAATTCAGCCTCATTGAGGGTACTTTCTTGAAATGTGTTTATCTCTATAGAGAAGTAAGGGCAATAGACCACACCAATATGCAATGTATTCTACATTTTACAATTTAAGCATAAAAAGTCTCATCCAGGTAAAAGACTCACATCCCCTCAGTTCCCACAAATTGAAACAAAATGCTATACCATCTAAGGATGATTTCATCAGTTAAAGTGAGTGGACTGCATTTCTTGATGTAAGATGCAAAATTCTCTTTTAAATAAATGTATGTTCCAATTAAAGTGAGATGTGACAATTTTCTGCTTTGGTAATATAATGAATCTTCAAGTAAATGTAAGCATATTTCATTTTTAAGTTTTCTTTAATAAATTAAGTTGGACATGTGATTGATGTGTGACCAATTGGTATAAATAAATCCCTTCTGGAAGAACATAGGGTTCTCCTGTTAACCCTTGCTTTCTATGACTGGGCTCATGGCATCAAGCTCTCTCAGCATAAGTGCGGTTACCAATTAGTTAAATCCTTGACTAATACCTGGTTTATGTTTAAAGGAAGGTCTGTGGGCCAGCCAGAGATGTTGGAAAAAACAACCCCTTAATGAGTTCTGATGCAGAGAATGGCATGTAAAACAATGGGAGTCAGTTCAATGCAAAGCTTTATTGGCAGTAATGGGAAAGAAAGGGAAGGAGAAAGGTTGAAGGGGACCAAATATACAACTTAATCACATACACTATTCTCAAACTCTGAAAATAAATGACCAAAGAGCCACAGAGGTTATACATCAACTGCTAAACTCTGAAAAATCATGGAGATTATAGGCAAAAGGTCTTCTTTATTGGGCTGGAGGTGGGCAACTAGACACAGGTGCTGGGGTCTGCTCTAGGGCTAAGCAGACTAGACAAAGCAGCAAGCAGTGAGGTGCAGCCATTGCAATGAGGCAGCAACAGCAACAATGAGACAAGTTTGCCTAGTGGAAAAAGTCTATTCATAGCAGGGCTTAATGACCAGAATGTGGATCCTGCAGGTGCTTGTCTGAGCTCAAGGACCACCTAGGATTGGCTTGAGCCAGTTCTAGGATTTAGCTGCATCAGAGCTCATCCAGAGGGTGAGTGCAAAGGATTGTTATGCCAAGATCAAGGAATGGCGTGCTTGCTGGGCCTTAGCTCTGGAAAACAGGGTATTCTCCTAATAGTAAGAAAAGAGAGGAGTAAAAAGAGGAGTGGTCTTGGGTGGGAATCCTGATGCTAACATGGAGAATAACTCACATAAGGACAGTGCTGTGTTGGGAAGCACAGAGACACAGTTCATTCAGCTGAAAAGGCATGCTCCAAGGTGCCATCCTAAGAGCGGGATACTTAAACCCTGATTTTGGTAACCACCTGGAGCTGTCCATTTTTTAGTGTTTGAGGGATATAGGGGATTTGGGGGGGGGGGTAGATAAGTATAGGGAGAAAAAACAAGCTAACAGTTAGAAAGATATGATTTTGGGATACACAGCTGGACTAACCTTAAGAAATATTATGGCCAGTATTTTTCCATGACTAGATTCGATAAGCTACAGCCTCCCTCAAGGGGAGACTGTCATGAAGCTTTCTAGACCACCGGATCTATTTTATAACAGTGATCACCAGAGTCTAAACGTTATTTTCTGTGATTGTTAGAAGGGAACTGCATTCAGTAACAACCATCCTGAAGGCTCTCACTTCTTCGCGATTTATCTTCTTACTGTTCATGAGGGGTCATATTTAATGTGTTGCCTTCAATGAATAATTAAACTACATATGCCATTTCTGGGTAGTCTCTATGCCAGGGGTGGGGAACCTGAGGCCTTGAGGCCACATGTGGCCTCTAGGTCCTCAAGTGCTGCCCTTTGACTGAATCCAAACTTCACAGAACAAATTTCCTTAATAAAAGGATTTATTCTGTAAAACTTGGATTCAGTCAAAAGGCCACACCCAAGGACCTTCAAATCTGATTCGAAGATAAGGTATGAAACAATCTCTGATCTCAATGAGCTTTCATTCTTTTGAAGGAATACAAGGACTCCAAGAGACAGATGTAAGGAGAGAGAGCATTTCCACACATGGAAGACAGCCAATGCAATGGTCTTGAGACAGGACTTAGGATATCATGTTTGAGGAATAGCAACTAGAATAGTATGACCATATCACAGGGTGAATGGAAGGGACAAATGTTACAAGACTGGAAAGGAAGGGAAAAAAACCAACAAAGTCCTATGAGCTATCATCAAAGGACTTAAGCTCCTCAGGGCTGGAACAGTTTCACTTCTGTCTTTGTATTCCCAGCACTTAACAGTGCAGCATGGCACTGAAGTATCCCCTTACCACTAGAAGGACTAGAATTTAGTCCTAGAAAGGGTCTGGTTGTGAAGAATTTCAAATACTAAACAAAGGAATTTATATTTGATTCCATAAGAGATTTCTCTGTAGGAAAACACTGGAGATTATTGAATAGAAGAATAGAACATGGTCAGATCTGCACTCATTTTGGCAGCTATGTGGCAAATGGATGGGAATGAAGACAGGGGCAGCACTTAGCAAAGTGTCTGGTGCACAGTAGGTCTGGCGCATAGTAAGTCCATAGAAGGCTATGTGATGAGGGCCTAAACTAGGGTGGTAGTTGTGCGAGTGGAAAGAAAGAGACATAATGGGAGAGATGTTGGGAAGGTAGAAACAAGATTTGCTTAGACATATAGGGGGAGGGAAAGGGAGTAGTCAAAGAAGAATGATAGAGAGGTCATATACTTGGATGTCTGGGAGAATTATGCTACTCTCAACAAATACTAGGGAAGTTTAGAAGAGGGACAGTGGGTTTTGGGAAAAAGATAATGAGTTTTGTTTAACACACATGACATGATGAATTTGAAACACCTGCATAACACCCAGTTCAAAATGTCCTAAAGTCAAGATTATCTAAAGATAATGTGCAACTGGTACTCAGGAGAGAGGCTAGGGCTTGGTCTATAGATCTGGGAATGGTCTACACGGAAATGAGTGTAAAGTCATGGAAGTTGATGTGATCATCAAGGGAGGTAGACAAAAAAAAAAAAAAAAGAAGAAGAAGAAGAAGAGGGCCCAAGATAGAGCCTTGGAGGAAACCTCCACAGATGCCTACTATGTATTGGGCACTGTACTAAGGGCTATGAAATAATAGGTGCTTAATAAATGCTTCTTTCCCGTCTCTACTGTCTTGATTAAAGGAGGGAGGTATGGCTATGAGGGACTGGATCCTACTAGGAAGGCTTCACAGAATGCCTTCCTGTCTTTCAGTTTTAAAGAGGAAATGGCTCTACAATAGTGGGAAATCATGTAAATCTGAGAGCTATTTCCTACCTAAAATTTCCCAGGTAGTCCAACTCAAAGCGTCAGCCGGCAATGTAGAATCTAGCACTGGGTCTCTTTTGGAGGTTACTGATTGCTTCTGGCTAGATTCAACTGCATTTGATATTCTTTCCTGGTTATTCATAAACTTCAAATTGTAATGGATTATCTCAGTGAGTTTTTAGCTATTAATTGTCCAGCTCTCTGTAACCTAGTAAATCCATTAAGTGGGGTGGGAGGATTTGATTAATTACCTCAAAAACACACACATACACACACACACCTGTACAAGTTGGCTATGTTACATGTGCTCTAAGTACTATAAAAGAGTCCAACTCCCTTATTTTCTAGAGAAGGAAACTGAGAACCAGAAAGATTTAACTGAAGTCAGGTTCTCCACATTCCAGATTAATTTTTCTTTCTACTACATCATATTACCTCCCTTTTAGGTGCTGTAACTACAAGGTGAGCAGTTTGCTCCAAATGAACTTTAATTTTCATAAGGAACAACAGGTCATTTTGAAGCTCCATCCTATCTCACCATCCCACCATCAGGAAAAAAGTGCTTGACTTACTGGGAGAATTCTGTTTTCTCTAATTTTCAATATCTCCTTTATTAGAATGTAAGTTTCTTGAGAATAAGGACCATCTTGTTTTCTGGATTTTGTATACCTAGCATGGGGCTTAACCCCTAGTAAGCACTTAAGAAATGCTTTATCTATCTCCTCCATGTACCATGTACATTCAGCTACTCAGTGTGTGAGACAGGATTTGAACACTTTATGGATATGGCACTTAGAAATCAGAAAGACACTGTCATACACACTTAGTAACTGCATGATCCTGGGAAAGTCCCAGAACCTCTCTGGGCCTCAATTTTCTCATCTATATAATGTATAGATTGGAATCAATGGCTTCTGATGCCTCTTACCTCTCTAAATCTATGTTTCCATGATATTATCATTTGTAATACCTAGAACACTAAGTGCTATTAAGTGCCCATCTATTAAGTGCTAGTTTAACAGATATGTATCCTTTATTACCATAAATAATAAAAGTTTATTGTTCCTCAATTGTGAGCAGGGAAAGCACTAAAAAGCTATTTGGCTTTCCCACTAGAGAGAAAGGTTCATCTATGATCTAGGAAAACCTCAGGGAGCAGTGAGCATCTAATCAAATAGGAATAAATAGAACTTTACATGTTAGTTTGCTGCTTATTTAATGGCTAATAATATTTAATTGTTTATTTTTCAAGAACTAAAGCCACTTATGCTATTTTCTTATACCCTAGGCTGTAATTATAAAAACTATCACCAGAAGCCTCTGTTCTCATATTGCTATTTTATAACTATTTCTCATACTTTCCCCAAAGGGAAAAGGGGCTCACCTGAGCTAAATGATGCTAAACACTGGAGGAGTATTTGTAACTTGACAAGAATATTTATCCCTTCTATCCTATTCTAACTAGAGCAATGCAGATAGTAAACATACATTGTTTTGATTTTTTGTGTTCTGCAAAAATGACTTATTGCCCCCGATACATCTAACATCTAGGATCTAGACGTACCCCCCGTCTGAGGTCTCAGAATTGTGAAACAGATGAGAACGATGTGATGAATGCACTAAATATGTGGTTTTATGATGGTAAAATATT